CAAAGTCCACCTGGATGCCACCCTGTGCCACATGCTCTGGGTGTGCCTGCTTGAGCAGGAAGGTTGGACTAGATGATCTCTAGAGGTCCCTTCCAACCTTGAATATTCTGTGATTCTGTGAAATGACTTATGTAAAAAAGACCGTTAGGTAGAAAGAGTTCCTTTAAAAAACATTTTTATAAAACAGTATTTTATGTTGAATGACAGTGATGGGCATAAACTGATAGGTATCCAAAACCTAGGATGTCCCCTAATGTCACCCCTTTATAACAAGTTCCTGGCATATGAATGTTGTATTAAATTTCAGCAATTGGGGTCCTTTCACTGAGCTGGTGAAGACTGTCAGTTTTTTCACCTTCTTGATATTTACAGAGATTTTGAATGCTATGAGACATTAAGTATATACTTATATTTATGAGGTATCGGGTTTATATTTAAAAAAACTTTCCATGCCTAAATGTACAATCCTATAATAACATAAATAAGTTGGAAACTGTTTTGTGTCATTTATCTCTTACTAATGTTGAAAATTTAATTATTTTCTTAAATATATTTGATCCTTTTAGGCTTGAGAAATATTGAGATCCCTGCTTTATTTATGTTAGCCCTCCTCTATTGCATCATCCCTATATATCTTTGAGTACATAACAGAAGAATCGCAATTGCCTACTTAACCCACGAAATTACCAGGAGACTTCTCTCGTACACTGAATTGGCAATGTTGGTGTCAATTTACTCAACTACAAAGCATTTTTCAGAGCCCATTTTTCTGATACATTGGAGTTTGGATCACTTTACAGTTTTACTATATGACAAGGTGTTTGGGGAGATTTTTATCTAGCTTATTATTTGTTTTATTTGCCCAATTTGGCTGCCTTCCTACTTGAGTTAGAAAGACCCCTTTAGTTTTGCTTTAATTGCAAAATTTGTAATCAGTTTGTGGGAGTTTAAACTTAAGTCTTTTCAGTCTATATACAGCTGGCTTGTTGGAAAAGTGACTGAGAAACATCTCCTTTAAAGCAGAACTGATTTTAGAAAAACTTGTTGATGTCTGTTAATGTCAGATTGTTTTCCTCTTCTGGACCTAAAAATATCCATTTGTTTAAATTAATTTTAACTCTTAGTTTAACTCCTAGTTATCTGTCTATAGTATGAAGATGAATAGCATTGAGTGTTAAGTCTATTTTTGCTTATTTTTGAGTACTTGAGAAATAGTAAATTATCACAAGGACACTGAATTTGCAAAACAATAAGCCTTAAAAAAAATCAAAGATTATTGAGTCAAATTTAAATACAGTTACATCTGATTTGGCTGTATTATCTAATTTTATTGTTCAAACAATTGGAAGATGAATTTACTTCTCAAAGTATCCATGAACACTAGACAACCTAATCCAGTTTTATTGTTTTCTGCTTTTATTAATACTGTCTAAGAAGGTGACTGGTGTCTGAAAAGGTGTGGGCTCCCGTCAGCCCTTCTTGCACTTCTGGAGCTCGTGGCTTTATTCCCCATTGAGCTACTAAGCTGTGAATTTGTACAGCAACATTTATTTCTAAGATGTCTGGTAGCATATTCTTTTTGTTCTTTTTCTTTCTTGAATCTTTAAGGAACTTGTTCATCACTTCTCCATCATTGGAAATTCGTATTTCTCCATCAGATTTGATGAAAATCAGCAACAGGCAACAACGTTTTAGGAGGACACCTGCGGGTGTGAAAAAAGAATGATTGCATAAGCTTCACTTTGTTAGGAAATCACAATACAAACAAATTGTTCCTGTTCCAACTGGTGATTTTTCAGTGATGCTTTAACTCCTATCAACTGCCTGCATTTCGTAAGGCGCTGGACTGCTTGACAGCTGACATGCAGAATATACAGTGCTCTACCTGCCTTTCAGTCAGCATGTGTGCATCATCTACCCTGCCTTCAATTTCCTTGACCTTTGCTGCAGCTTAATCAGTGATCCCACTGTGTCTGTCAAGTTTAGCTAATAGTGGGTGGGATTTGGAAGGTGCTAGGCAAGCAGTGAAAGATTACAGATAAAATCAAGGGGTTGGTGTAGCCACCTTTTTTTTTCTCTTTATGTTTTAATGCTGAATCAAGCTTAGTCTTTTCCATCTTAACCAGCATTTGGAACTATCTCCATTTTCTGATCTAGTAAGCAGGCCAAAAATCTTCATTTAATCTTGTTTTCCAAAGATCTCAGATATAACTTGGTAAGTGAGTAAGTCTGAGCAATTCCAAGGTATGAATGAAATGTATCTAACGTATCTAGGTCTGAAAAGAGAACATTATAACAGTCTTAAGCTGCAATACTTCTGTATACCTTGTTGATCTAAAAATATATGGGATACATTGTGAGCCAGGATCTGAGATACTGAAAGCACGTTCTCTTGAAGGACTTTTAACACTGTAAAGCAAAGAACTAAAGCAATGTACAATTAAATGGGAACTTCATTTTAGACTTGATAGCTAGGAGTGGAGATGTTTTCGGTTCCAGTCTTTGCTTCTAAGGACTTTTTATGAATTATGTCCATTAATTACTTAAAATAAAATATAGAGCTGCTCATGGGAACAGAACTCACCTACTTCTGATGGAGTAGCCTAGCTGTTGAATGAGAGCTGTTTTCTGTTGGCCAGGGACCAAATTCTCATAGCTGAGTTGGAGAGGACCCTTTTCTCCACAGTTTTTCGCCCTTAATAGGTAACAGACTAGCTGACAAGGCACTGTGCCATGGTCTGTGAGTTTAAATAATCTTAGACTGAGAAGGCCAATTCTCTGTGCTCCCGAGGAAATTTTTTAACCGTTAGGATGCTCTGTAGAACAGCTCTGGGTACTTAACATTAGATGAAATCTGTAGTTCAGTTTCTAACACTCTGTTTTTGACTTGCTCCCTCATTTATACAATTCACTGGTAGGTTTCGGTAAGAGTTGGATCAGACCTTGAGCAATGAGATGCTTATGTTATTTGTGTAAATCAGTCACCAGGCACAGAAAAGAGGTCTGGAAGAAAACTGGAGAAACCTTGTAGTTCACCAACCTGATTCTTTCACAATAATGAGGTCAATGCAATTAGATTTACCAGATAATATAGCATGATTAAACCTTCAGAATTATGAGTGAAGGTCTGAAAAGTATGTATGAATATCTGCCACTGCTATGACAAACCCCATGCTCTGCACTTGATGGGTTTTGATAGGTTCACACTCATCTTCCTAAGATACAAAGCCCCCTTGCCCCAACATAAGCTCTGCATTCAGACATTCCCCTTTCTACAGCTGCAGTCTTCCATTGACTGTGTGTTTTGTAGTTTTTCACTTTGCTCTTTTTTCTAGTGTTTCATTAAGAAAAAAAGAAAAACTCCTCTTGGTGAATGGCGGACAAAACTTGCCTCCTGCTCAGTCATTACCATAAGTGGAGAATGAATGAAATGCATGTAACACAGCCAGAGCACTAGGAAAGAAAGGATTCTGAATAATAACTCTGTAAATTCAGAGTGTATGGCCAGAACTGGGCAGGATGGCACCAAACAAGATACAGGAATAGTATTCAGCATACTGCAGCAGTATCAGATCCTGTAAATATTGGTATGATTTAGTATTACATATATTTTAAACTGTGATTCTACAATACTATTTCACCCATCACTATCTGATACTACCTGATACATTCAAAGGCAGGGGAGGATCATATTATGTATATATGTATATAATATATATAAATGATATGTAAATCATAAATCATTCCTGATAGAGAGTTATCTAAACTGTTTCTAAAATGTCCTGGTACTGGTGACTCATCAACATCTGTAGGCAATCTTACAAATATTTGCCACTAATTCTACCTAGCAATTTAAGTTCTATAAATCATTTCAGAGATTTAGCACATTTTTAAAATCTCACAATGATTTTAAGAGCTTTCATTTGAAAATCTGTTTTTCTTTACAACAAATATTTTGGATACTTTATAAATATTGTGTATTATATGTACATTAGATAGGACTGTACAGTTTCTTCGTTCTATAGTTTATGGACACTTTCATCAACTGTCAAAAAATTCAGAGAGACAGTGAAACTGTAAATGTGGAAATGGTTCCTTGTACAGTAGTTGTGAATATTACAAATACAATTAAGGATAATGAAATACGATTGCTTCAGATTTATTTATTTTATACTATTTTAAGCTGTAAGAAGTTTTCAAAGAAATCTCAACAAGTACTTTTTAAGTCAGGTAAAGTTATGAAGGGCCATGAAGTGAATTAGTGATCATTTAACCTTTACTGGCTAAAAAGTGCCATTAAGAACTTGGAGGCACAAATAAAAACAGAAGTGATGGGGAAAATCAAACTCTCTCTTTTACCCTGAGGCAAGCTTAATATATATCCAAATTATTTCTCTCGATTTTGCATTTTCTGGATCTTTTCAGTAGTTTCTTTCTGTTGTTCACTGAAGGAATTGGCTTCTCAAAACAAAATGAAACTGAATAAAGAACTGGAAACTATGTTTTTAATTAAAAAAGAAGACAGGTACCTTTTTCACTTCATACTAAATAGAAGTTTCATATTTTCATGTTGGAAGAAACCTTTGTGATTATCTACTCTGATTTGAAAGATGAGAACCATCTGACTGCTGCGAATGAACTTGTTTGTGAACTACAGCTACCTTTTTGAGGAAAAGTCTAGTTTGCCAAATATTTATTCAAGCTTTAATTTAAACTGCATCAGTAAACTCAGTTATATGTACCCGAAACATATTCATGTTGAAATTGTAAAGATTGCTGAGATTTCTCAGTACACCACGAATGTTTATTGTCTCATATACTACAGCTTAAACTCTCTCCTAGGTCAGAATGAACTGAAGCATTATGAATTGGACCTGGTAAAAGAAACAAATCTAAAGGGAGTTGTTTGTGTTAATATATGTCTAAATAAATTTCTGCATGGTTCCAATTAAATGAAGACAAGTTGAACTACATTTTAAAATGGTGTTTTTACATTCAAGGATGATGTCAGCAATGAATATTCGCAGTATCCCCCTGCTTCAGGCTTGGCTGCGAGTCTCAAAAGGAAGTCAGAGATCGAGAGCGAATCAGCTATGCGGAACGTGGAGAAGCAAAGAGGCATCTCTCCAACCCTGGGTAATGCTTTGGAGCACATAGTGGAGCAGCTGGATGTTTTAACTCTAGTAAGTATGCAATAACAGATGACACTCACCGTGTAGGATGATAGTGCTGTCAATGGGGGAAAAAAATCCAGAAACCATATTCATAGATCAGAGTGTTTAAGTGTGAGGAGTTATTTTCAATGATTAGATAGACAAATGATCATTTTATTTTGTTTTGTATCCATTCAGCAAATATTAAATATATTGCATTCCTTGAAGTGAATCCTTCCTGCTACCTAGTCACAAAGATTACTGGTGTATTTTTAACTCTGGGAGGAAAAAGTCACTATACTTCAATAGCGAGATCTAGTACAGATTTTACTGGTGTATTTTTAAGTCTGGAAGAGAAAGGTTTTTATTTTTCAGTAGTGAAATCAAGTGTAGATTTACCAGAAGCCAATTGTTGACTAGATATTATCAGAGTCCAGCCTGAACAGTCAGGCTGTAGCAGTGGATGAACAAGGTAAATTGGCAATGTACCATTAAATCCTGTTTGAAACCTAGTACCTAAGGTTTTGGTTTATCTATTTAAGCAGTGGAATAATTCTAAGGCTCAGTGAAACAGTGCAAAGATTAGGCTTGGTGAATAACTCTGATTCACTTTGTAGTTGCTTAGTGCTGCTTTTTATTAATGCAGGTTTAGTCAATTTATGTTTTGAGTTATAACTATAGTCCATAAGATATTAACATTAAACCAAAACAAAGGGGAATAGCTAAGTTTTGGGGTTTTTCCTACATTCTTTTGCACTATATGTGTGTGTGTATATATATATATATATATATATGTATATATAAAATATGTATATGCTATCTCAAGAAATAAGCATTGGTAAGTATGGAGTAAAAAGCCATCGATTCAAAATTGTCAGCCTGTTTCTAGAAACATACCTTTCTTAAAGGAGGGTGAGCTCTTGGACAATAGCCTTTCAACTGTGTATTTTTTTTCAAACATTTTCTTTTGAATACTTGGAAAGTACCTTTTAGGTTGGTGGAAGACATCAGTTTCCAGTGATGTCTCTTTTTCTATTGAAATATACTTGTAACTTTTGCATAATATTTCTGAATAATTTATATGTACATATATACATGAATACATAATACACACATTCCAAGGAGGAATATTTTGTGAGAATAATTTTAAATCTTTAAACAATTTCCCCAGACACAAAGCAATTGTTACTAAATATAGCAGTAAATACTGGAATAGCTGCAACATGGCCATTTTAGATTTTTTTTTCTTGTTTAGTTAAAATTATTTTTTATTTACTGTGTTACATACTTTCATTATACTATGCAAGTCATATAAAAACAAATTGAAGGTACTGTCCTCTTCATGCAGACTATTTCAATACTGGAACAACGGCTCACATTGACTGAAGATAAGTTGAAAGAATGCTTAGAAAATCAACAAAAAATGTTACTTCAGGGAAGACAGGCAGAATAAAAAATGGAAATTATCTTTACTGATGAATATGTTTCATATGTTCTCCAGCAAACGATAAATATTGCTTCATTATACTTAACTGTCAGAAAAAAAATGTATTTTAACAAAACAGTTAAATAAAAAGTGAAGAAAAAATACCTAACACATTATAAACATTGGTAGCAAGCAGGTATTCTTGTTACATATTTGATAAAATGTTGCCCAACCAAAACTGATACTTTTTAAAATCATTCCTGTTGAAAATTACATGAATGTTATTTCAACCTAAGATCTTTAAATACAACTAAGCAACAAACTATGCAATTTTAGATGAACAGTAATGATTATGAAGTGCACTGTGCTGTTTTTTCAATCCAGATAAGGGCTGTAAAAATTATGCTCTTTGTGGTAAGGCAATTTTACTCAATTACTACTAATTGCTAAAATGACATAGGTTTTCACTGTCTCTTACACACATTTTATGAAAAAAGTGGCACCAGGTACTCTTTGTCTTCTAATATTTCAGTGACAATTGTGAGATGTTTCAATGTAAAAACTTTCAGCTCCAAATATAAAAATGTAGTTACTTAAACTTTGAAACAACTGTTGTATCTGTAAATTCAGTTTCAAGACTGGTTACTTTGAAACAACTGTTGTATCTGTGAATTCAGTTTCAAGACTGGTTTATTGCCTTGGATTTTCATTTTTATTGTAATCCATTAAAATTCATTGTTCGTATTTATAAGAGCGAAATATACTTTTAGGTTTTGAAAGAATGAGAAAAACAAACACAAAATAGTATCAAGTTCATATCATAAATACAAGAGATTCTTGTCCTTCAAGGACTTGCAGAGGTGCTAAAACTCTGCATGCTATGAATGGCCTCTCAAGCAATCAGTTAGTGCTGTATAAATTAATTCATAAAACAGTAAAAACCTTTTTTGAGTTGTTTTGAAATGTACGATGAATTCTGTTTCTATTTTTAATAAAGATAAACTTTTTTAGAAAGATATAAGGTGTGAATTGTTCCTTAATAGAGAATATCTTTTCTTCTTTATGCTTCTGTACTATTTCCTAACTGTCCATTAAGTCCATTTCCTAAACTGAACCTCAATAAAGTCAGTAGAATTCAGCCTAAGCACAGAATATCACCATGCAAATACTATTGCATTTGGAACCAAAGCAATGAGCAATAGATTCTTTTGTAACTTTTAATTTTCCTCATAATAATCATTTTTGCATATGCAGACATGAGTTGATTGCTAAACTCTGGATTCTGCAAACAATTACTAGATAGTTTCAACTCACTCTTAAGCAGTACTGTTTGTTTTGGAAAAAATTACCTCTTCTTAAAAGTTTTAAGTGAAACTATTTCTGTGCAACATCCTAGTTGCCTATTTTTTGTGAAATGATGTTCTTGCATATTCAAAGGTTTACAGACTGACCTTTGATCATGCAGCTGGTTATAATGTGTACCTATGTAAATACTGTCTTTTATATCCAGTATGCTTTCCATTTTGCATTTATAAATACTTCTGTGACCTTTCTTGGTTTCATTAAGAGACAAAAAAAGTAACCATTAAAAACTCATTCTTATTTCTTGTTTTCTCTTAATATTTTCTTCAATTTCTTTTAATTATCTGCAGGTTCTTTTATTTTATTAGACTTTTCAGGATTATCTTTCAACACTATTTGGCTTTTTTTTTACTTCTGTGTTTTTTTAATAAAGTTTGTGCTGAAATTTTCCTTTCTACCATAGCTCTTACCATTAATTCTTCTTCCTATTCAGTACATGTTTATCTAATGCATTTATTACTTAATCCATTTTGTTTTTCTGTTGTTTGTGAATCTAGTGAAATAGGATATTTCCAATTTAATTTATGCTCTTGTCATTCTATAAGGTAGTCTGATGATTTTGAAATCCTTAGCATGCATAGGATGCTAAGGATAGCGTATGCACGTAGCATATGCACGTGATTAGAGATGGGTGTTAGAGAAAAGGCCAGAGTTATTTTCCTCAGATGCTCACACTCTCCTAAAATACAATTACTACCTAGGACAATATCCTTTCGGAAGGAATTTGTCAATGGACTAATTATCTCATTCTCTTGGTCCATTTAATTTTAAGTAGAACCACCAAATATAAAGATTTCCTTTAAAAACAGTGGAATTTCCTGTAGGTTTTTCACTCTGTCAAATAACTGGTGATTTATTTGCATTATCTTTTAGAGATAGATGTTTATGGCTGAACTTGATTTTGAAGGTTTCTTGCAACCATAATGATTCTATGGTTCTACAAAAGTGAATGCTGTTCAGCCTTAGTTGCACTCCTGGAGTATTTTAAGAAATAATTGCAGAGATCTCTAAGTGATTGGGAAAGGTATATCTATATTGCAGATGGTAGTGAAATACTGAAAATCCATACTTACTCTAAACAAATTAGACCATGTACCTGATGCAATCAAGCTTTCCTCAGCGTTCCTTCTATAAATAAGGCATCCTGCTGAAGGAAGACCACTTACAGCATCCAGGTCGGCTACTGAATTAAAAAGCAAAAATGGCTCAATTGCCTGTTCAAAAAAAAAAAAAGGAAAAAAAACTAGTGGCTCAAACACATACTCCAAAAATGTGGTAGATCTCTGGTACTTGTGAGGGAAGGAAACAATCTGGCAGAACGAATAGTATCTCCTACTAGTGTCACAGGAAGACTGTCACTGGAGAAGCAGACAAAACTTCAAATTCCTCAAGTTTCCAAGTGTTATGAGTTAGTTTAGCAACTCAGTGTACATCCAGGGAGATTTATAAGCAAAACAGAAAGGTACTGTCCAAATTCAAAGAAATGCCACCAGTTATTAATGTGTCTTGAGTTCTATTTGTAATTCCCATCAAATGTATATGTCAATTTTAATGGCTTTTTTATTTTAAGCATTACATAAAATGTAACAGTGAAGCAATAAAGATGAAGTTCTTCATTTTTCACTTTGGATTGCAATATGCAGTGTCTTTGAGACTACATTTAGAGCTTCCTGACTTATACTGCTTATGTAACTTAGGCATATAAGTCATGGTTCTGATTTCTATTTTACAGGCAGACAGTGAATAGCTAAATGTTGCAACATAGATTTTATGGCACTTAACATTTACTTTTGATCTGAACATACAGGGTTTCAAGTACCTGGGTAAAATCTGACTAGAACATTAGCTTATGCCAATTATCAAGGGTGCTATATGGGCCTTCCTGACAATTCAAACTGTAGATGGTTTTACTATTCTGAGGAAGTGGGGAGGGAATTGTCTTTTGATTTTTAAAAAGAACACCATTAAATTACCCAGAATCTTCATCATTTGCTTTTTACTGCTGTTAACACACTTTTTATCAATTTATGGTTTTGGAAAAGATCCTGGAGGAAAAGGCCTTGTTCTGTTATTGTGATCTTTAGGTCAAGAAAATAAATAAACACATACATACATACATACATACTTAAATGTAGGCTTAAATTCTGATTAAACTAATCTCTTGGAGAAATTGTGGTAGAATAGCTTCCTCTAGCCATTTCAAGGTACCTGTAGCATGAGGGAAGATTTGATTGACGGAATAAAAAAGTAATCCAGTCTTTATTCAAATAAATGTACTGTGCAGTTTTTAAGGTTAAGAGTTATTCTTTTCCTCTTAAAGATCTTATTACACTGTCACATTGCCATATCACAAAACCACTCTTGAGAGGAGTTGGGATCAAAATGTATTTCAAAGGACATAATTTCATGTAACCTGTTTACCTTGTGTGCCTTGTAAAAATCAGAAATTGTGTCTTTTTCCCAAACAATTAATGAATATGAATGTACACACTGGATCCAGGAACAGTATGTTTTTGTCAGAGTGTCCCCTCAGCGACTTTTGCACGCTTCAAATGCATAATACAATTGAAGCCGTTTCTTTGTGAGAAAATAGGTTAATGACTTGCCAAAAGGCAGATGTTAATTGGAAAAAGTGCATACAAGTCGTTTTCTTTACAATGTATGTGGGTTGCATTTGTTTTGACTTGCATCCAAGAACAGGTGCAATTTCAATTGACTCAGCTAGCAGGATGTGCTGAGTGCACCCTTCACCAATTTTACTATAAATTTTATATCCAGAAGGAAAAAATAGTTTCTAATTTGATCAGTGAATGATAAGCTGCATTTATTATCTGTGTTAGAAAACAAAATTATGACTTGTGAATATACTTAGATGTAAACATCTTAATAATATGAAGATAAGGACTGTATTTATCAGTGTTGAAGAGGTTTACTGTTGAGCACAGATGAATCTTACACAAGGCAAAATATGTCTTCCCTTTCCAAATGCTTTTTTTGTAAGAGAGTCGGCAGTTCTATGCGAGCTATCACTAGTGTATTTATAAATGTAACTTAAAACAGAAAAAAAAAAAGCTATTTTTCACTAATGTATTTTTTTTGCCACTGAGCTACATAATCAGAAGCAAATTTAGAAGGAAAAAAAGCAAATGGGAGAAACCCACCAGGGTTGGATAGGATCAGAAGAGCTTATGTTTGATGGTTTCCTAAAAAGGAAGAAATGCAATTATGGCCTTTTGGAATTTCTAGTGTACCCTGAAGAGTCCACCAAAACAGTTCAGACAGACACTTCTACTTTCTTTCACCCTAGCAATAATGAATGCAAAACGGGGCTATATCAGAAGCAGCTGAATCAGCTTCACTCTAGAATACCCAGTCGCCTCGGAATTAAAGCATATGGATAGGATGGAGAAATCTTGGATTTGAACATCTACTCAAAAGCCAATGGAGTAAGTATTTGTAAGAAGACCTTCTACAAATTTCAAAAATTAACTTAAATTTCTAACAGATGAAGAAATCTCCTGAATTAAAGAAAGCATATAAGATTTTTAAGAAATCTTGATCCTGATGGCTTTTCATGTGAGACCCAAGCCAGTATGTGCTTTGAGATACTGACTAGATCAAGACCTACAGTCTAGAGCAGCACAGGAACATCTAGTTCAGGAATTACAGGAGCTTTAGCATGAGCA